ATTAGACTTAGAAACAAGGGTTATGATTATTCTCAACATGTATAAGCTCTCTTCTAATTGACACTGTTATTAAAAAAAAAAAGAGCCTTTTATAAATTAACATATAATTAATTTCCTCTTTTGGTGGTGGAATTTTTTTTTTCTACAACTTTGATCGTCACTAACAGCTATGGCATGTACGGGTATCTTTTGCGAGATTATACTGAGACACGTTTTAATTGCCGAATCCCCTCAGCACGTGATTCACATTGTAAACACTGTGCACCCTGTGACAACACAATTTCGCCAGGCGACGTATCTCTTCACTTCTCGCGCCCCTCGTTATGCTTCCCTCTTCTCTCTTCATCACGTATCTTTCTATGTACGTGATGTCCCGTCGCCACTGATCAATCACAGTGATGTGATGTGACACGCACTGTAAAATCGGAGAAAAACAAACTCGCGTTCAAGTTTAAATACATTTTTGTAACTTGATCGATTTCCGTCTACCCTCATGTGGATCTCGTATGTCGTGGTGTGGTTATTTTGATAAACCGTCGACGCCAGTAGGTTCATTGTGGCTGCCACTCTGATTTCGGTTGTTTTATATCTACAGCTGCAATTGCTTATATCAAACGATGAAATGTTCATGGGAGAATTATTACAGAGAGTACCTTTGATGGTAATTATACAATATTTGCACAAATTAAAATATACTTCATTAAAGTGTATTGTTTGTGCTGTTAACATTGTATAATGCATTTACATTTGTGAAATAATAATAAAAGACCTTTGTAAGTCGATCTTTTATGACATTCGAACAAAATTCAACAGTAAAATTCTGTGTACTATATAGCCACAGAGGTATTACTCGAAATGCTCTTATTGTCCATCTTTTATACTGTTGGAGACAGTTATGAATACTAAATGATCATAAAGAACCGTTCAAAAGCTCGACGCACTCGATCCTATCATTTATGTATGAGCTATCTTATCGTAATATCGATGAAATCCGTATGAAGACTTTTAGGTATGCGTGTTGCTTCGAGCTTAAATCGAAATAATGGCCAAGGAAAAGGTTATCTTACAACAGTGGTAATTGAGAGGTAATAAAGTATCGATGAATTGTTGGAAAAATGCCTTTTGAAACGCCATTGATTCCATTTATTTGTAATTTTTTCCTTACACTGTGTTATCCTATACATGACGAAATCATTTTCTATATATTCGGATCATTGGGTTGAAATAAACGTGATTTGTAACATTCGATTTTAATATGCATATATCACATAAATCGTGTGACATTATTCCATCAATGTTATGTATAGACGTTAGGATGAGCTGTGTGTATGATAGAGAATATTCACCCAGCAATTACTGACATACAAGAGAAAAATTGTAGAACATTTTTAACTAGGTATTAGGCTATGAAATAGATCACGATTATCGGTGTACTACGAAAGAGATGCGTGTGAACTTTCTCGATTTATTTACGCCCGGAGAAACTCAAAACGAAATTTTAACGAAAGAAACAACAAGTTATCTATATAATCTCAGTAATCTATTCCAGTGATGATTTTTTTGACTATATGTGTATCCGATGATCAGATGTGATTTTGAATTGTATTTCCAAATTTATTTATGTAAAGTATTTTTTTAATACAACATAAGACAAAAGAATAGTTTTTGTGCGTTCGTTATAATATCTTACACTTCTTTGACGCTTGCAGATTGTCAATTACTCTTTGCAAAAGACAATTGTAGTATGATTTCAAAGCTAATTAAACAAATTGAATAGAATAAATTGAAATGCGGGAAGTTGTGTGCATATAATGTTCACTAGTCTATGAAAATTTCAAGAATTTAATTTGCATGAACTACACTAACATTGACATAAAAGGCGTTTGATGTATCAATAAGAATGGATGATCGAGCTGTTTTATTTGTCTATCGCTTTAATTAAAGCATCTCTAAGACATGTTTACCTTATTTTATGACTTATGTCAGTCAATATTCTAACGTACTGCGTGTTGGTTATTTTGAGACACGGAAAGTTAAATTAGACATAAAATAAACGATGAGTTTAAAATGAATGTATCTTTTATTTTGCTTGATAAATTATAGCATCAAATGTGTCATAGCTTTCATTTTTAAAATAATATGTTAAATTCGCGAGTTTCAAGTCGAATGAAAAACGATGGTGTCTTTGGGTGTTAACGATCTTAATTTTGTTTATTGTTAGACGTCGTTGTTCTTCATTTATTTAATGATTTCTAGTATCACATATGTGCCACAGATATTATGTTTTTATACTTACCAAAACATGTGCACTTTTTTTAGTATATATTATTATAGGGTTTAATGTATTTTGGTGTGAATGTCTAGCATAAAATGCGTCATTTGAACTCGGTTTTTCTGTATTATACTTACAAACCGTAGACTTCAATGTCGATTGTTTTGAAAAAAAAAGTTATTTCCTAAAAATATCATTATTTTTTAATTAATTTTAACTATTTTCAATTATAGTTTAAAATAATATTCAAGTAAAAACAGAGAAGCAATTCATCAACACAAGTATTATTCATCTCAATGTTATTGCAAAAAGTTGTAATTTCTATTGCGTTTCTTCGAACATTTGTTTTAAGAGAATAGTATCCTTTTTCTGTTTAACTAATTAATGGAGTTTCATCGATCACCGTATAATGTCGAAATACGTTATATTGATGATGTTGCATTAGATTGATCAACAGGCTTAATGTTAATTTGGTCATTACAATTTAATGATACAACAAACTTAGCGTTTTTCGTTAATTATTGCGCTCTTTATATTAATTCAGAGAAAGTTCACTTCGTATTATATTTTTAGATAAAATACAAAAAAAAAAACAGATCTAAAATGTCAACCCAAACAGAAGATGATACTTTGCCTCAGTGCTTTGTATTTTAGTGTATAGAGTAATTACATTTTGAGCTCACACGTATGTCGAAGCAATATAATAGGTACCTTTTTCTCTTGAAAATAATCGCAACACAAAATCAATTAAAATACTATTGTTTCAAGGATTTTCCAACGCTTTGTTCTTGGTCAAAGTGCACAATAGAGCCCACGCAAATCTGCTTGCCCGTTAGCTTATGTTGGAGTTAATACTAATGCCACTGTAAATTTGTTTCCATTGTATAATATTATAAACCTATTTCGATTTTCATCTCTCTTTAATTAGTATAGAAATTCCATGAATTACGTACACTACTGTCCACCTCTTGACTTGGAATAAACCTGAAAATCTACTCCCTTCTACGCGACAAGGTTTCTCCATTTAACTTTTTGGTTGTCTTTTTAGTTTGAAATAGAAATAGATCGATATATAGTACGAAAATAATGTTGTCTCTCAATTATTGTTGTTTTGTGTGGAAATTAACACTTCCGCAGCATCGACACTGTATTCTGGATCTTAAAATTTTTACAATTCTCTATGTTTTATTAAATAAAGGCGCAAACAATATTGTTGGTTTTCACGGTTATAAATTCATTCTTTGAGTGTACAATACTCGAACACTACTGGCGACGAAATAAATTGGTAAAGTTTAAGTTGTTTATCTTAATTGTTGAAACGCACAATATTTACTCGCCGTTAGCCATGTGGGGAGACACCGCAATATAACTAGAATATGTAGTCCCCTTTACTACTTATTTATTTAACATAACGTTAAATATTTTAATTATTAATGTTTAAGTGTTGTCATTACAATATGGTAATTTAACATTTACTTACTAACAAGTAGCTTTTAAGGTACTGATCACAACACATAAAATTTAAAATGGATCTAAAATATATCCTATGTTATTTTTCTATATTTTAGATATTTTAAATGATACTCGGTTATTTATTCAATACTAGCGTTATTTTCATTATTTTCCAAGTAAATCTTAAATTTTAACTAACGGATGAATGCGAATTATTTTCGTAATGTTGTTGTGGTTAAAGTTGCGTTGTATAAAAGTCGCAGGTGAGACGTTCTCTGCTGTAGTTTATAGACGGCTCGGCCGTTATTGTTTTTGTAAAACCTTAGGGTAAAGGAAGCCATATATTTCGCGGTGGAAATTGGAAGGCAGAAGAACGACACACTTAATTGAGTCTCACAACTCCCTTACTTACCGCTTGCTTTGCCATCTAAAACTGGGCAAATCCGCGGGTGCCAATAAAACATCAAGCTTAGAAACCAAACGACCCCGGGGCAAATTAATTTAAATCCCCTCCCTTCAGCTTTTGCACACATAACCCAACGGAAATAGTGGTGAAGTTATGTGTGGTCCACGCCTCCCCTTCAAAGGAGAATTGTTGTGTAAACAAGGTAACTAATTCAGAGGGTGTGTCGGTTTTCTCTCCTCGTCCACTTATCAATAGTAAAAGAAGATGGTGTTACAAAAACTTACAATTAGGTGGTATTCTTTTTAAATCATTGCTACAAAATTGAATTATTTACTTTTTAAATCGACTCTTCTCTGACAAACGTTAATTTTAAAGTAACTATTTTATTCGGATTTACTGTTCGTTGTGTTTTAGATTAATTAATTCAGTAGTTTATTTAACAAAGTGCAATATTTTATTTTCTACTTAATTGCTCTTTTGCGGAATATTTAAAATAGGACAAACAACTATTTGTCTTAATTGGTTTATTCAATAAACGCTTTTTAACCACTTAAATATTTAGATAAATTCGTCTTGATAGAATGAACTTTAATTTAACCGTTAATTTTTTTTTTTAAGTGACATTTTTCAATTAAATACTCATTTAAATTAGAATATTTAACACATAATACATTATTAAAATAAGTGCTGACAGCATTGTTAAAGTTGTCAGTTCTCAATTTTATCAGTTTTATTAACTTATTTGATCGATAGTATTTGACTGACTATCTTAATGTTTAATTTATTTATTTTCAATAAACTTATTATAATTATTATACTCTTTAATATATAGTATCTACTATATAATAATTTTTTTTAATTCTCTTACAGGTGTTGCGGTTAAAGAACCATCTTTGTTTATCAAGCCAACTCAACCCAGACAAACGAAACCCATCGGTTCTTCTTTGATCTTAAACTGCCAACCCAATGTAGATCATCCAGAACTCATCAGCAACTTAAAATGGTTGGATCCCCTGAACCGAACAATAGAACAGACTTCGTAAGTTTTATTACACTAGTTATGTGTTTATTATAATTTAGATTTAATTACATTGCTTTTCGTGTGGTGTTTCATTAAATTTTTAGTACCGCTGGTGCACATGTCACTACAACATTAACATCCGACAACAATTTAGGACTTATAATTACAGGCCTTACTGAATCTGATGTTGGAACTTACACATGTACTGCCACCTATTCTAACTCAGAATATTTAAGTCATAGTGTAGTCGTCGACAGTTTCGGTAAATCATCTATATTTAGTTCATTAGTGTAGCTAGAAATTAAATTTTTGAAAAAGAGAAATAACTTGATTTTATTTTTAGCTATTAATTATTTACAATTTTACTTATACTTAATATTCTAAGTAACGGGTTTTGTTTTAATAGTTTTATTATTTCTAAATTTGTCTTTACACCCTAATTATGGTGCCATTAATATTTCATATTGACTGAATATTGCGTTTAACGCTTTAATTGATTTTTCATTTTACTCAGATGACATAACATTTGTGAATGCTCCCACTGAACAGTATCCAATTGCTGGTGCCAGTTATAAAATACAGTGCAAAGTAAAAGCTAACCCGGCACCTTTGGTCGACTGGTATAGAGAAGATACTAGAATTCAGGATAGCAGTCGATTTGTCAAAGAAACCGATGGTTTAGTCATACAAAATGTAACAGCTGAAGATGATGGAATTTATAAGTGTAGAGCAATTGTTTTAGACACTGGAAATATTCAAGATAAGAATATTAGAGTAGAGGTATGAATACACAATATGAATTGCTGTTTATATTATCAATTCGTAACAGATAAATAATTTCTATATTTATTTATGAATGATCACTTAAAAAAAAATAATAATAATAATAATGTCATATATTAATTTTATTTAAACATAAATCAATAATAGATAATATTAATTATGCTGTTGTTATAGGTTTTAGACTAGATAATTCTAGAATTGTTAATATAGAATTATATTATTACTATTTATTTTAATTGGTTTAACCAAACTAATAGGTACACATTCCACCAACATTTGTGCCCAACCAAGTTTCCCAACTTGAATTAGTAGAAGGTGAAATGGCTAGTGTTCAATGTACTGCTAATGGAAAACCAGAACCAAAAATTACTTGGATACATGTGCCTGAGCAGCGAGATTTGAGTGAAGGATCTGAACGATTTTCAGTGAATAAACTGACTGGTGTGTTAAATTTAAACAAAGTAAGCCGAAACGATAATGGCAAGTTTAAATGTGTGGCAACAAATGCAGCTGGAACTATAGAAAGATTAGTAAATGTGGTGGTACTAATTAAACCTGAAGTATTGGACGTCACTAACGTTTCAGTTCCTCTCGACAGAGAAGCAAGAATACAATGTATGGCAAATGGAAACCCTCTACCATCAATTGTTTTCAGGTATGATTATTGTTATTTTCTAAAAAAAAAAATAAGGTTTTTTTACTCCAAAAAATATTTGACATTTTAGTATAAATATTATTTGAAAAAAAATGAATATACCATTCTATCTGGATCCCTCGTGTATGATAATTTCTGATAAAAAAAAACGATTGGCTTAAATTTGGTCCTTAAATTAATTTATACGATATGTTATTTTAACATAAAAAAAATATTTGCACAAAAATGTAACATAATACATTTTTTTTAATTTATTAGTTATATCAAAAGTATATTTTCTCAAGTTGATTTCGGTATTATTCGTGTTTTTTAGTTAGCGAATAATTTATTCCATTATAGCTGAATAACCTAATCAATTTTAGGGTTTTTTTTTATCCCTCTATATTTTAGTACAAAATATGAAAGACAAAAGTATTTTTGTATAATGGATTTTAAATCAAGTCTTTACATACGAAGAGTAGCATTTTGTATAGCTTACCGAATACACGACCGTATTCAAAATTTTCATTGTGTAATACATTTTTATAACTTTCAGCTGTTTAAAAAACAGTTAATGATGATTAGTGTTTGGTGGGAAGATTTTGTTTTATTATTATTTTTCTTTAATAATTGTTTGTGTATCGACTGAATTTATCTACAAAATTAAATGACCATTTTATCTTATTAATTTTATCAAACGAGTAGGTATTCGTTAATTTTGTCCCCTTTTTTCCTCGCATTTAATTAATTTTTTCGATTAAGTTCGAACCGTTGATTACATTTTACTTTAACTACAGGCGTTTAAATGATAGTGAAGGGTAACAAATATTAACGCTTAGTGCTCTAATTGCAGGAGAGTGGGCACAGATGTTGTAATAAAAACAGGAATCGAAGATTATCGCATTAGCGTTGAACATAATACTGTTAGAGACGTGGCGACAGCCACTCTGGTAATCAAACACCTGAACCGCACAGACGATGGACTCTACACTTGTATTGCATCCAATAAGGTACCCTCAGCTTTTAACTAATTATACCCATATTTAGTGTATCCATTGACAATTAATATATTTTTTGGTGCGTTGCAATAACATTATTTATTTATTTTAGGGTGGTACCTCAATGAAAAACGGACATCTTACCGTCGAATTCCCTCCGGTTTATGCTAGCAATATGGTCAGAGAAGTATGGACTTGGAATAGTAAACCTGTGAATTTAACATGCATATCTGAATCGCTTCCTAATGCCTCGATCACGTGGCTTTTAAATAATCGCATTGTCGAAGGAGATTTAAATGTTAGGAAGTTCGGAAATGGGCCTTACAGCGATCTACAAGTAACTCCAGTTGATCAGAGATATTACGGAGTGTACAGTTGTTTAACAAAAAACATACACGGTGAAAATAATGCTCTAATAACGTTGCGAGAGGCTCATAGACCCGGAAGAGTGTCTCAAGCCAAATTCGAAGTAGTTACTGGTAAAGTATACTATTTTATTTTATTTACACTCTCTGTATTTTTATCTTTCGGCTTGTAACTATCTGTACCGTTTTATTTCCAAAAATAATTATTTAAACCTATTATAGGTATAACATGTGATAATTACACGATAATCGTAGACACCTTCACTGTCTAGTATTCTTTCTTTTTTTAATGGACGGCTGCCATAAACTGAGATACTATATTTAAAAATGTTTGCTTCGGTTGTTTGTTTGTTTTTAAGTAACTTAAAATAATATAAAATTCAAAAGTATTATCCCTTAAAAGCTTCTTTAGTTTTGGGATTTATTTTTCATCACAAGTTCTTTCAAATATTGTATGAAAATATAACGAGTATAACAATTATTGTATTATTAATTTTTTTTGTATAGCTACCACAATTTCATTTGGTTTCATCGGACCGACAGATACAGGTGGTCTAAAAATCAAAGCATATGCCGTCCAATACAAGGAGGTATTACAGAATTGGGATGAAGGACGTAATAAGTCTTGGCCAGTCGGTAAGAAATAAAGTTTTTTGATATTTTGATTTATAAAAATACTTTATGAACCACATACATATTTCAATAATATTTTTTCAATTTTTATTGACAGATACGCCTTATATATTGGAAGGCTTATCAGCCCAGAGAACTTATCAATTTAGATTTGCCGCAATTAACGACGTGGGCACTAGTGATTGGGGAACTGTAGAACAGCGCACAATGCCAAAGCGTTCAGCTCCTGAGGAACCAAAAATTCTCTACAGCAAAGATTTGTACACCGATGACTATATCAATTCGCCTTACGGCAATAGTTACGAAGTGAACTGGAAAATACCAGCCGACAACGGCGAATTTATCGATTATTACAGCGTGACATATTGTGTGGTACTTATAGCTATATTTTATTAATACATTAATCGGTATTTAACTAGTAATTATAAACAATATAATGTATATATTGAAGCAAATAGTATTAATTTTCTTTCGTTTTGTACAGTAGATTTTTTGCTTTAGAGACGAATGGCTATTTTTTGGTTTTTTTACTAATTATATGATCTTACGAACGCGTAATACTGTCAATAATAATAATCGTCCAGTACAGGAGATTAAGCCCCTCCTGCGTCACTGGTTTTGTGTTTCACGTCATGAACGATTATTTTGATTATTATGAACACATTTATCAGAATAAAACCTTTATGTATTTAGATTGAAAAAATCAACACCGTTTGGACGCAAAAGAAAGAATCTTGCAGGACCGAAGATATCAGATCTCAAGACAGGACGTCATTTTTGATGGACAGTCTGAACGCAGATACGTTTTACAAAGTGGAGATCCGAGCTCACAACGAAATTGGATATAGTGTCCCCTCGGAGCTCGTCTTCAAAACTGCGATGGGTGAGTACGCACACGCACGTGGCAACCAACTTATTTTTAACGGCTAGCGGACTGTCGCAAGTCGACGGTGACAAATATACTAACTTGTACACGGTCCCATCGTTACTATAACAATTACGCGATCTAGAAACTTTCCGTTTGTTCAGTTGATTAGCTCAATTTAAATACAGAACGGCCTGTGTTATTTACTTACTCCTCAAAACGTTGTTATATACTCATACCAAATTTCAAAGTTATATAGACCGTGTAATTATCATTATTATTATTATTATTGACCGAATTTTCAGCCTCGACGATAAAATTCTAATATTCACCGAGGTCGCAGATGTATGGAACTTAAATTATTGCTGTTTTCGAAATTACTCATTTGTCAGCTCTTTTAACTAGATTGTCGACGCGTTATACTGCTTAATTATTTCCAACTGTTAAGTGTGTGTCCAATTAATAAATGCGCTGTCAAATGATGTGCATATTTTTTAGCCGTACCACAAATAAACCCTTTTGTTTTTTTGTTAATTAAAATTTGTTCAAACTATCCTACCGCTAAATACTAAGTATAATATGTCTTAATGTAATTTGTGTACACATTTTATAATAATGTGCAAATTAAGAAGAAAATTGTGATTGGTGGTTGTGTGACGCTAAATCTGTTTTTTTTTTTTAATTACACGAAAACAAAATTAGTGTTTATTCATGTTTTCTACGAAATTTCTGATCGGATTTATATTTTAATGCTTGGTTAAAATTAAACTCGCATGCATTGGCTTGTCTTTTTTTTTTTTTTTAACTTAATTGCTCATTGTTGTAACATCAATGAACAAAAATATTAATGTTACATTAAAAAATTTAAATCTTATTAAATTATAATGTTAATAAATAATTTGATTTATGTTTTATTCTTGTTGTATTGTTATTATAGTTTAATTAATATTAGTTTATGCGCCTTTAAACAGATGTAATTATTGCTAGATGAAATATAAGAGTATTATATTTTGTTGTTTAACTTATCTATAATTTATTTTATGCTCCTTGTTCATTATTTTATTTAAAGGTTTTAAATAAAAAATTGATCTAGGCGGGAATTATCTTAATAACAGTTATTAAAAAGTGTTTCTAAATAAAAGAAGTATTTTTTTAATCTAATAATATTAGATTTATTACATTATACTATTAGTTATATCTAACAGGTGCAAGTAGTTAATAATATTAATGCATTAATTAAGAACAATTGATTTAATTAATGGATTATTTTGCATTGAAAGCTTATAAATTCAAAATAATTTTAGAAAAATTTCAACAGAAGTTTTTGTTTTATTTATTGCTTATTTACACATTTGCTTCTTTTTTTTGCGTTCGATCTATAAATACATTTGTTGTATGTTTATTATATAACTATGAAAATAAGTTGTTATGACATTTTTTTAAATGCTATTTTGTGCATGTGCACACTGTGTTTGTTTTATTGAAACTTCAACAATATTTTGTGTGTTATGTGTGATTTGCAGAACATTCCAGTGTGGCCAGTTTCAATTCGGGAATCACAATCAGCCTACCATTCAAGTCTTTACTGAGTCTATCAATAGTGGCTATAATTAGCCATTGGTTTGTCTTTTAAATACAATTGCTTTCTTTTTAATAATAATAATTAATCACTCCTGTTGTAAATATTACACAAACATTTTTTTTATCATATAAAACTTAGTTTAAAAATGTATTTAATATTTATCTGCAATCAAAGATCTTAAATGTTTTGTTTGTAAAATTACCTGAAAAAAATTGATTCAGTTATTTTATATACTGATTAAGTAATTTACAAATTATTGCAGTCAATCTTCATGAATATAGTTTTAATTTACTTTTGTAAATAATAGAACACTTTTGTGTTATAATTTTATTATTACTATAACATATCTTTTAAACACTTGAAATTGCAAGTAATCATTACAAATCACTTCTTGATTATAAACTTTCATTCCAGACATCTATTTGTCTTATCTTAATTGAATCACATTTTTCAAATTGAGCTTTATATTGTGTTTACATGCACTAATGTTTTTATTAAATTTAATTTTGCATTATTAGTGATACTTTTAAGTAATGAGTGGTTATATTTTATTCGCGTTTGAGTTTTAAAATGTGTCACTTTTTAGTTTGTGATTTTTTATTATTATTTTTTTACTCTATATTGTATAGTATTGTTGTGATAACATTAAATCATTTCAAATAAATTAGTTGTTGGTTTATGTAATCTTATTATTTTAATTTATTATACAACAATATATAAAATAACAATAACATCAAATTTTATTAAGAAGAATTAAAAATTACATCCTTATGTTATTGTAGTGTAATTACATAAATATATTAAATTTTAAATATATATATTTTGTATAAACTTAAAATATATAATTTAATTTTTACTATTATACTAGAATCAAGACTTCCACTTAAGGTAAAATTTTATTTAGGTGTAAGAAATAAAAAGAATATATTTAGATTTTAATAAATTTATAATTGTATGAATTACCACATCATTTTTATCCTAATTTGTCATGTTATACCTTAGAAATTAAATTTAATATTACCTCCCAGTAAAAAGTTTATTAATTTAATTCTATAATATAATTATCTATTTTTGTAGCATTTTTATTAAAATAATTTTTACATTTAAAGAAATAAATGTTGTAAAATAAAAATAATGTTATGTTACTACATGCATATTGTATTTCTTTATGGTAAATTTTTACTTTGATTTTTAGATATTTCATGATTATCTAAGTCAATATATGTACCAAGAAAAATGTATAAATATTATTTGACTATAAATAATAATTTTAAATGAACATTTCATATCTGGTATTTTATATTTTACTAACAAACAACAATAATACCAAAGAAATTAAATGTTTTGTTTATATAATGTAGTAATATACAGCTGGTTGTTTTCTTACATTAAATTTAGATAGCATGATCAGGTAAGAAGTATGTTCCTCAATTTTTTTTTACAATTTTAGTGCATGTTACTTGTTTTGAGTCAAGCTACTGCAAAAAAATTACCAAATTAATCCAGTGAACGTCAATGGTCTAATACTAAGTAACCAGGTTGGAATATTTTCAGTGTATTATTTAAGTTTTTTATTTAATTGCTTTGCACTAATGCTTTTCTACTTTATTATTTATTTTCTTATATAAAATTTAAATCTACCCATTCATTACTTGTGATTTTATTTGTATAATTTATACTGATTATTATAATATTTTAATTAAGTGTTCTCAGCAGGCATAAGTAATATAAATGTTATCAATCTCCAATCACAAATTATAAAATCAGTTATGTTTTTAACACAGCAACAAAATTGTATCCCGTTAACTGCATATTATTGAATGCGCTCATATTGATATAAGCACAAAATACAATACAATGTCAATAACAAAATTAATATTTATAATATATTTTAAAATTATAGGTGCTGATATACCACTGCAGCCCACCTACAGCAACCGACTCAATTCATCTGTGATCATAAGTATAGTCTTAGCTGTGCTCTTTACAATATTGGTCATTATAGACGTTTCTTGTTACTTTATCAATAATACAGGTTAGTTTTGTGTACGTTAATATAGTATACAAATAATATGTTTTATTAAAGATATCATATTGTATGTTTAAAATAAAGTTATGGCTTATAATTTAGTTTTTACTATGAAAAAGAATTTATTAATTTTTTGAATAACTTTGTTAATAATATTAATTTAATTGTTAAATAGGTATTTTGTTCATTTTATTCAGTATGTGCTGTCGGAAAAAGAAAAGGGATGAAGACACTAAACTCGGAAGGTAAAATTTTCTAGGGCATTTCTAGCATTGTTCACACATTTTGGTATAATTACTAATTTGGGTTCTTTTATATTGCGTGTGTGTGCATAATTTAATAATTGGGCGGCCGAATAGACCAACATTGTGTTCACAAATAATACAAATATTACTTTGTTATGTGTTACCTATGCATACCTAATATGCAAATAGTCAATAGTAAACAATAACAATTTATATTATTATCGAGATACTGTTTTCTTTAAACCTTCAATATTACAATTAATAATTTTTTTCCCTTCATAGAAATTAATGTTTGTATTATAAGTATATTTATCTATTTATATGTGAAAACAGAATTTTCTATTTACTTATTTAACTTTATTATTAAATATTTTACTTTCATTTAGATTTTATAAAAATGGTAAGATTAATTAAATTAAAATTTATCAAAGCTAATTTCACTGAAGTAAATGAGCGAGAAATTGGGAGAATTTAGCCTCTTAAAAATATAAAATGTTATATGTATATTATACAATAACATATATTAGGGTGGGGTAATATATTAAATATTATTAGCTCTCCCAAAATTTTTATTCATTTCCGTTTTATACATTTTTGATTTTCATAATTAGTGTTTTCTCATAAATAGACTAACAAACAAAAAGCATAAAATACCATATCATTTTAAGTAATTATTGAATTTGTAATTTTTAAAATAATTAATTTGGATGAGTGAATCAAAAATGTTTTTCTATCAATCATCTTTAAAATTATTTGTATCATAAATTATAAGAAGATAATTCATTTATAAACCATAAAACTATGTAATAAACAAAAAGTTGGTTATAGAAATATTAAAATGTAAAGAAAACAGCACTTCATTAACACTATTTTGTTTGTGTAAAACCTCAAATATTGCTACATTATTCATGTTTTATGTCATTTGTATGTTAACCTTTGTAACCTTTTTAATAACCTTTTGTAGATAACTACATACATATCATTCATATATTTATACATACATTGATGTGTATATATATATAATTTTTTTTTTTTTTTTTATGAGGATGACTGTTTATTGCTACCCCTATAAATCTAAAACATTATGCATTTAATTGCATGTTAGATAAGTTTATTCAAAAATTTTTTCAAGTATAACTTCGATTGTTTGCACACAAAAACACTTGAAAATACCTACAAAAAAGTGATAATCATTTATATTTCAATGAAATTTACTCATTTATTTACCCTTTACTGTATGTGGTGATTTAAAGTTAACAATATATTAACTATGAAAGTCATAGATATCCCAAATTTCCAAAAAAAATTCTCAACAATTTTTTTATTTAAATAAATACAAATTTTTCTATCAAGTTACTTATCTTGTATATATTTTCTCACTGAGGCTTTTTCAATAGGGATATTACAGAGGGAAAGACATTAATCACTTAAACTTCAATTTTAATTTGGCTCACCAAAAATATTTATTAAGGTTTTTTAGCTAAAAATTTTTGCCATATTCAGGAAATTATTTTCCTTGTCTATTTCTTCACTCTTGAAATTTTTATATTATTTCTTTAATTTACATTGAGTATATTAAAATAACAAATTATGCCTATAGTGTCAATAAAAAAATGTTATTAATCACCGTGTACAGTTTAATAAAATATTATTTAAATATCTCCCTATTACCCTGTTTTATTTTTGTTTAATAAATTATGGTGATGGTAGACATAAAACTTTTCTATAATTTTATTTTAAGTTATTTTGAACCTAAAAACCATGTTGTTTAAAAATGTATCTTTCAAGTATGTATTTTTCATTTTAATGCAAGAATATGTGATCCTTAANGTATTTTTCATTTTAATGCAAGATAATGTAATCCTTATAATTTTTAATTTATTAATCAACTATAGTCAAAGTAAAAATTGAGACTAGAGTGTATGTTTTAAATTGAGGGCCCTTTTCAGTTTGTACGGTTGGCGTTTTCCTTTGCCGTATTGCAACAACAGCTATGGCGAATCATCTAGTAATGGAAACAGTTCTTGTTACACTTCCGACGTAGAGAAAGTCCCTTTGCCAGATATGAACTTTGTGTTGTAAGAAACGTGTTGTCTCTTAATTAATTTTATTATTATTTGTTATGGTTTGGTTGCTTTTAATTCTTATATTTACTTTATTTTATGCTAATATACAACAAGTATTTTTCATAGCATTTTAAATATCTGTGTGCTTTGTGTGTGTGTGTGTGTGTGGGGGATATGTTTTCATATTATTTTATATTAACAAATTTTAATCTTGTTGAAATAAAATTTTATGAGAATTATTGAATTCAAAGTATTAAATAAT